AGTATCAAAGATTCGAACATATGTTTATTGAATTTCTGTTAGACTCAAAAGCGTCCAGTTGTATTGCATTCTTTCTTTTATATAAATAAAATCGTACTGTGAATATAATAACAAATCACCTCCCTGAGAACGGAGGTGGTTCATCTAAATCTATACTTTCCAGCGGAGCATATCACATGACCAAATAATAGATCAATAACTCTCTCCTTCTATGCCCTGAGATTGTAATTTTGAATTTCAGTTTTCATTTTAGACTATAAAATTACACCCATACAACTTTCTCACTTCTCTGCAAAATAAATCCATAAAACTTTACAAGAAGTCTTATAACTTCCCATCCAATCGAGAATATCGTTGAAGAAAACTCGTTGGAGAACTTGCTTCTTCTTTTACAACTTACTTTGCAGAACTGGTCATGGTGTGCTGCAAGAATGCCATCTCCATACAAGACAACACACACAATTATTGACTCAAATCGATGGAACGAATTGATTAGTTAACTGAAATCCCAGCAGCCAAAGAGGAGGAAGAACAAGTGGAAAAGGCGATGTGAAAATGGAATGGAATTGTCTTCATGGCACATGTGGCGAAGTGGAAGATTGATTTACAAGAAATTCTCTATTTTCAATGGTCTGTCTAAAAATACTTCCAACGAAGATGAACGAAAAAAAAAACTTGAAAGTGAAAAAATCGTATTGATTTTCAGGCATTTTGTATTTTATTTCATATCGACGATATTTCCACATGACGATTTGTCGATGCTTTTGCAGATGTACAGGTTGTTTTAGCCCATTTTCTAATGTGCGTTTGTGTGTGTGCATGCTTTTGCAATGATATTTCCGTTTACATGCTTGATTATGCTGTTACGTTTTTCCTTATATTTCTTTAGAACATTTTTCAATTAGAACTTCCCAAGAATTTTCCGGTGTGGTTTAATGATTTTATAATAGCAGCTGGTTTGTATGCCCAATCGATATTCGCATAACTCTCTCTCACACACACACATATAGAAGAGAAACATTTTTCAAATGCACTAAAAAATTACATAACAAGCTAGAAAGATAAGTCGATTTGTCGAAGTCATACGCTTTAGAGCCTTTGGCTTAAAGTACCATTTCTCACGAATTTTATGTAGACCTTTAAATTTAATGCTTTTTCCGATGATATTCTGTACCCTTTAGTACTGTGTCACAGACAATGCCACAAACAAAACATTTAATTTCCAGGTTTATTCTATCGTCTAATACTGAGGACGTATTATTTAGATCCTGTTTGTACATTTCGTATCCCTTTAGTATGAATTTACAACAAATTATATCGCCATTTTAGTGAATAACAAGTGTACAATATTTAGTACCATTCTGAATTTTTAAAACTTTTAGTACGTACATCACCGTCATACTTAAAAGCGACGGTATATAAAAATACTTAGATCTCTGGCTCTTCAGATCTAAATTTCGCAACGTTTAATACTTTTAGTACAAATTTTACGAGGTACTGAAGGACTGGATTGATATAAACCATCTTCGCACTATATATACTTACACCCTACATCGTCAGCTAAAAACCCACTTTTCAAATTTCAGCTCTATAGCTACACATAATACAAAATTTAGCAAAATTTTGTAAGCATATCCAAAACATTCTAGAACTATCCATTCGAGATAAAAAAAAGTGATCCAAAATTAGTACCATTTCATACTTTTCGATCATCTATAGTACGCATTTGCAAAACCACCCCAGATCTCAACATCGAATACCAACAGGGAGCTCAACGTCAAATTTCGTTATTTTAGCTCACATAGTCACCAAACAGTGACATTCATATACAATTTCAGGATTCCACATAATACCAAATAAAACGAGGAACCTCATTTTATAACCATTCTTAGGGGGTGGTGAGTCCTGTTGGAATACCCAAAGTCTGGGCCACAAAGTTTGCTTGTTCACAATCTGCTGAACAACGAATGTCTTCTCATCGGAGAAAACCAAAATCGGCAGTTCACCACTTTCGGCCAAGCGAAGCAACTCTTTAGCTCTTTTTATACCCTCCACCATACTATGGAGGGTATATTAACTTTGTCATTCCGTTTGCAACTCCTCGAAATACTCATGTCAGACCCAACAAAGTATATGTATTCTTGATCAGCGTAAAATTCTAAGTCGACTTAGCCATGTCCGTCTATCTGTCTATCCGTCTGTCCGTCTGTTGTAATCACGATATCTTTCGAACGAATTGAAATAGAAGGTTAAACTTTTGCACACGTGTTTATTTTTCCAGTAGGCAGGTTAAGTTCGTAAATGAACCATGTAGGTCCACGTTTTCATATAGCCCCCATATATAAGTACCTCCCGATATTCGGTATTTTGATGATTTTAGCGACAATAATCCCCGGAATTGTTTCAACTTTGGTATTTGAAGTTCGAAATAGATACTACAGCCTAAGACAGAAAATTGTCTATGCAGGTCCACGTCTTCGTATAGCCCTCATATAACGGTATCTCCCGATATTCGGTATTTTGATGATTTTAGCGACATTATTCCCCGGAATTGTTTCAACTTTGGTATTTGAAGTTCGAAATGGATACTACAGCCTATGTCAGAAAATTAACTGTGCAGGTCCACGTCTTCGTATATCCCCCATACAACGGTACCTCCCGACATTCGGTATTTTGATGATTTTAGGGACATAATTCACCGGAATTGATTCGAATTTGGTATTTGAGATTCGTAATGGATACTACAGCCTATGACAACCCCTAGGCTGTACTCTATATTCGGTAGGTACAATACCCGACGAAATTTTTTGAAATGTCGTATTTGACGTTTGTAATGGATGCTATAGCCTGTGACAGAAAATTGTCTATGCTGGTCCAGGTCTTCGCACAGCTCCGATATAACGGTACCTCCCTATATACGATATTTTTATGATTTCAGCTTCATTATTCACCATTTATTTCAAGTTTCGAATTTCAATATGGTAATGGCTTATGACACACAAGGCCTATGTAGGTCCATGTCGTATAGACCCCAATATAACGGCTATATTCGGTATTTTTAAAATTTTAACAGAATTTTTTAATGACTTAATTTTTTGAAACTTTCCAAAACTCGTTCCAAATGGTGGAGGGTATTCAAAGTTCGGCCCGGCCGAACTTACTGCTTTTTAACTTGTTCTTTCTATTGCGGTGTAAGTGCTTGCACTTTTTGGAATTTCAATGGCTTTACCCCGAGCTCATTTTTCAATATTTGCAGAATGAAATATTGCGATATGTTAGCTCACAAGCCATTTTTCGGTCACTGCGATGCGAATTTCGATCAAGTCGCTTCTTTACTTTTCGAACCATTTCTGCTAATGTTGCTGTTTTCTTCTGTCCACTTCCTTGACGTCTGGCTACGCTATCAGTATCACGGTAACGAGCGATGGTACGAGACACAAAAGATTTATTCCCATTTAAATGCTGGAGTACTCTAACGATAGCCATTTGTGGTTTTCCAGCTAAGTAAGGAACCAACTACCAGCATTTCAAAATACCATGATACAATAAAAAGGAAAGCTAGAGCTACAATCTGATTACAATTTTTTTTCTAAGTATGCCCGACTTCTTTCAATTTTGTGTATGTATTTATTTTTTTGAAAAATAAAAACAAAATATTTTCAAATTCAAATGAGGAAGAAACTTAAATTGCGGGGCGCGTATTAATGATATTAACAAGATTTGCCACGGTATTGAAAGATTGAACACTTAGGATCATATTTTGAAGAGAATATCCAGCCATTTCATTCATCTTTCGAACTATTTGACTCATTTTCAAAATGAGCAAAACATATAAAATAAATGAAAACAACTTGTTGAATATAATCTTGAATTATTCTGCCAGGAAGCGGGTATAGCCTCAGGGCTGTATTTGTGTAATTTTACGAAGCTGTTCTACCTCCTTATTGTAACATGCAAATTTTATCACTAACCGTTCATATAATTCCAAATGGTAACACATTTTAGTACTTTTGGTATATTTCTAGCCCGAATTTCCGAAAACCAGCCATATCTAACCCCTACTCGCCAACATTGATCCATATGCAACATTTTAAGATTTTGGCTTCAGCCGTATTGTATATAAAAGAGTAAAAAATTAAAATTTTTAAATTAAATTAATTATTTTGCTCTTTCATATATATAGAGAAGAAAAATTTTATCTGGGACGTACCCGAAAAGTTAGACCTATTGGACCGTTCTACGATATAAGTTTCATACGAAAATTACGGTGTAGCAACTTTGAACCAAATCGGATACGTGAGCACTAATCGGTCAGACAGACAAATAATTGTCCGTTTCAAATAGCCATTAGACTGAGGGTATAAAATGTAGTACCTTTTTGTCGACATAAAACCATCAAGTTGTAAAATCAGTCTACTGCAAATAAAGTTTGTTTACAAGCAGAACCATAAACCAAATCATAAACTTATTCATGAATATTTTAAAGGTAAGGTTTGGTTCTTAAGTCTTTTGTTTGATTTCTATCTCACATAAAAACATTTCTCTTCTCTTTAGAATCTCAACATACGATTTTTTTTTCTCTTATACTTTGGACCAAAAAATTCTATTCTACAATTCCGAGAGTAAAATGGAATGCGCTCATCGTGTTTAACGCACAACGGCATTTCTGGAGACACAATCAATGCACGTACAAACACACATACATACATAAAATGCGAAAGAAATTCCATTGGCCGTCGACCGAATGTACGCACAAGCTGGAGTGGATGTTTAAGCCACAGTTAAGCTGTACATGTTAACAGCTTAAACGCACGCACACACACACATCTTTGTTTGTGACCATTACTCTTGGGCAGATTGCTCCGTTGTTTGCTGCCGTTCCCGCTGCTACTTGTTGTCGTCGTCGTTGAAGACGTCGTGGAGCGAGTGTTCACGTTACCTTAACCATGTTAAATGAAAGAAATGTTAGTTATAAACCTAGGCTAACGGCGCCATTCGAAACAGTTTGTCTTTGTACGTTGTCAAGTCGAGTTCTTTTGCTACCGCAAAAAAAAAGAAGAAGAGCAAAAGAAAGACTGCGAATAATCAATTGGAATACGGGCATAAAAAATCAAGTGGAAAACCAAAAGTGGCCAAATGAAAAAAGGACTTTTGTAGATTGTTATAAATAAAAATTATTGAAATAAACATTTATTAACAAAACAAATAGAGAGCAAGAGAAGTGCAACAACATTAAACATGAAAATATTTATAGTAAGTGTTGTTTTTAATTAAAAAAATATATTAAAAAAAAAACTATTTAAAAAAACGGAAAATAAAAAATAAACATTTGAAAAAAATGTGTAATCACCTTTCAATTGGATTACGGTGGACAATTTCATACATGAAATGTAAAAACCGAAAGGATATTTTATTGGAATGATTTCAAAGAGCAATATGAGTTTTAATATGTGACCTTTTTTTATTGTGTATGTGTCTTAAGTCTTTTGTTTCGAATCGGTCCTATTTTATTCGAATTTCGTTTATGGACTTGCAATTTATGAAAACTGCAATAAAAATCGAACTAACTTATTTTCAATCTAAATGTGCAGTGTAATAATTCAAAGGATATTTTTTTGAAATCTTAACAAATATAATGTCTTGCATAGAGGACTACATCTGAAAGTTTTGATGACAATTAAAACATAAGTGTGTTGGAACTTTTGAAAACATTCTAAAATGAGCTCTTAATGAAGAACTAAGATAAGTTATAACAATATTCTTTGAAATATGAGGAAATATCGACGTACCCACAAATGAATTTCGAAAGCATTTCAGTTGGTCCAATTACAAAAAAAAAAATTTCCATGGTCCGAGAGGACCAATGCATAGAACATAACTTTATGGAATTCAGAATAGATTGACAAATGTTTGGCATTTTCTATTCCCAGAAATAAAATCCTTGACAAAAATCGGTTGGAAATATGGCCAAGACTATCGAAATATCTAAGATTATATAAGGGCAATACCAAAACGTGAACCTATATTGGTAATTATATACAATAACTCAAAATACCAAAAGTTGGAAAAATAAAATGAAATAATGAATAAAAAACCTAAAAAATACTTGAAATCGGGATTTACCCATTTTTAGCCAATTATTCTGAAAGTTATCCAAATTCCTCTATAAATTGTTGAAACTCTTTGTTAAATGTTATAAAATATATCTTATTTTGTCAAGGCTATATAAGACTTTAAAAATTTGGCGCGAAACTTAATTAGGATTTTAATTTCTTTTACATCCATTTGGAATTTTCCACAATTCAGACTGGTTATTAAACAGTGAAATTATAAGAAATTTTCAGCAAATTCGGAAAAAGTGTTTTATTTGTGAAAAATAAAGAATTTCTGCTATTTTTGACTTAATTTGGAAACGTGTTAAATTGGCAGTAAAAAACACAAGCACTTGTAATATATAGATTTCGAATTTAATTTTCATAAAACCTATAAGACCCAGATATGTAGTTTATTTTCATTATAGTAACATTTTGTGTAGAATATATCTTCTTTTACTTTTTTATGTATTGGAACTAGATATTTGATGAAGAATATTATTGTCTTAAACATTATCCTTCTGAAATGATGGTTTGCGGTAGAATTTTACATAAGCTCACATAGAGTATGACTTTAACCCTAAAATGTGTTTTTTTAAGTTTGCCATCCCTCAAGGTATATATTCTTCATCAGCGTAAAATTCTAATCTACTTAGCGATCTCTGTCTTTCTGTCTGTTTAAATCAAGCTATTTTTTAAACAAATTGAGGTAGAAGGCTAAAATTTTACACAACATGCGTATTTTGTCAGTAGGTAATTTAAGATCGGAAATGGATCATGTCGGATCACGGTTTCTTATAGCCCCATAAAATCGAAGGGATTAAAAATCGATATTTAGAGTTTGTAATGATTCTACCTCCTGTAGAGGATCATTGCGTTCACGTTTTGCGGTAGCCCCCCATGTTTCGGTACTTTTCGATTCGATTCGGTATTCTGATGATTTTAGCCACATATTCAAGGGGATCGTTTAAAATTCGGTATGTAGAATTTGTAGTGGGTTGGTTCTAACTTTTTTATGCTGATTGCGTTGACGAATATTTAATTTAAATTTGGAGATACAGATGGGCCTTTTGCTTTTTGGAGATGATCGCAAATAGTTACGGTCGGATCAAAAACAGAAAAAAAAATCCTGATCACACAATTGAAGCCAATCGACACGCCTGAGAAGAAAGTGAAGAATGGGGAGGAATTGTAGCATTTTGGATGACCATTGGATTATATTTAGCTGTAAAATGGAATTCAACAACTAACAGCATGACGTAGTGCGTAAATAGTGGGCAAATGTCCAAGGTCAAAATATCTGGGCAGTGCTCCGTGACATAATTTTAAAAGCGAAATCTTCCAAAATGGATTTGGATAAAAAGGGTTTCTAACATGTTGTAGTGTTGTAGGGTATCACATGGTCGGCCCCGCACGACTATATTCTTTGCTTAATTGTTTATTGGCATATTTTTAAACGATTTTATCCTTTTCTTGTAAGATACGATTCTGAATTGATGAAAATTGTGAAAATCACTCCAACGGGTCTTGACTTATAAGCAGAATAACTAACTAAATAACTAAATCTCGCTCATATATAAATTGTACTTATTTGCTATATATCCGATTTATTGGCTATCAGCACCACTTCAATTGTCAGAATTGACCTTTAAATGTATTTGTGATTTCTCTGGGATTAAAAAATTCGCGGTTTAGTGAAAATTTTCGTTTTTTATATAAATATTATGGTTTGTTAATCCCCAACCCCATTTTCAATTTCGTGAGGATCGGGCCATAATTGCGACCTGTAGCTTGATTACAAATTAACATGGACAGACGGATATAACATAGTGTTGTGGGTTATAAGAATTTATAAATTTTTCAAAAATATATAGGGTAAGTGTGTCTAAGTTCGGCATGTCCCAGTAGTCGGCACTTTTTATTTTTAAGAAAAATAAATGAAACTATTATAACTAAATGTATTTTGTTTACTTCAAATATATTGTCAGCTATATTTGTGTACAATTTCTATTAAAAACGCGAATATCCTAAAAGTGCCGACTACTGGTACACTTACCCTATTTATTTTACCAAAATTTGCATTATTAAAGGATATTTTTTTAAAAGCCTTCTGACCAAAAATCGGGGTGTTATTAAACATTTTTTGAAAGACCACCTAGGCCAAACATCCTGGAACAATTATGAAGTATCTTCTTCTTAAGGATCTTCTTGACCAATATTAAACAATTTTGTAGAAAACTAGCTCAATTCTTTGATATAACCGAATATGCCTTACGCCATGTTGTATAAGAATAGTAATTTTTAAGGTTTCAGCCACATTTCCCACCAATCATTCTGGTGTATAAATAAGAAATACATTTTTCACTTGAATTAATTTTTTTTTTTTTTTTTTTTTTTTTGTGAGAGTCGTCATCTTCCGAAGTACTATTTTGGGTCACCAGCATAATAGTACATTACCATAATGGGCAAGCGTGACTCGTAGAACTTCGTCTTTAGAATTTTTACGTTATAGTAATTTCATTATTTTTCATAAAAATATTTCCCGTTGATAAATAACGTTGGGAGTTTTAATTTAAAGATTATTCAATAGAAATCTTATCATTGACATAACCAGAAACAAGCTTCAATATATTTTGAATTTTACTCTCATAGAAATATATTTTCTCCCCAGGCAATGTGGTATGGATACATTAATTACTTATTGATCTCGCTGCGAAACGGTGACTTTTAAGGTCTTCCTTAATCTATATCTATAAAAGAGGAAAATGTTTGTACGTTTGTTTGTTTGTTTGTTTGTTTGTAATTTATGGACTCGAAAACTGCTGAATAGATTTTTCTGAAAATTTCCATATATACTGCAACATCGCCTGAAAGTAACATAGGCTATATAAATTTTTGAATTTCCACTTGGAACTGGAGATATAGCATCAGAATCGGAGGTACCTCCCAAAAATTTAGATTTTATATGCACATATCTATTGATCGGTTAAAGATACAGTCTCCAAATTTGGAATGTGTAACGGAATTTGGAACAAAAATAAGTTTGCTAAATTATATTGTAATCGGTTCAGATTTGGATATAGCTCCCATATATATTTTCGACCGGTTTCGTTCATTTGATGCCTCAAACACAATATGAATGTTCGATTCCAATGAAATTTGGAATATGTGACGGGATTTGATCCGAAAATAAATTTGTCAAATTATATTGAAATCGGTTCAGATTTGGATATAGCTCCCATATATATTTTCGGCCGATTTCAAGCATTTGATGCACCAAACACGCTATGTATCCCCAATTTCAATGAAATTTGAAACGTGTGATAGATTTTATCTAAAAAAAATTATTTCCCAAATTATATTGAAATCGGTTCAGATTTGGATATAGCTCCCATATACATTTTCGGCCGATTTCATGTGATTGGTGGACCAAACACGACATGTATTTCCAATTGTAATGAAATTTAAAATAAGTAACGGAATCGGGAGCAAAAATGAATTTTTCAAATTATATTGAAATCGGTTCAGATTTGGATATAGCTCCCATATATATTTTCGACCGATTTCATGTATTTGATGCACCAAACACGCTATGTATCTCTAATTTCAATGAAATTTGAAATGTGTAGCGGAAATTAAAACAAATATACATTTGTCAAATTATATTAAAATCGGTTCAGATTTGGATATAGCTCTCATATATATTTTCGACCGATTTCAAGTATTTTATGCACCATACACGATATGTATGTTCGATTTCCAAGAATTTTGGAATATGTAACGGGATTTTGATTAGAAAATAAATTAGTCAAATTATATTAAAATCGGTTCAGATTTGGATATAGCTCCCATATATATTATCCGCCGATTTCACATATTTGATGCACATTTGACAAATTATATTCAAATACGCTCAGATGTGATTATAGCTCCCATATATATACTCAGCCGATTTCACATATTTGATGCACCCAAAGCGAGAGAGACAAAATCTGGCATCAGAAAAAATTGCCAAATTATATTGAAATCAGTTGAGGCCGATTTCATACATATTATCATATTGGGATATGATTTTAATAAGAACCATTGACCCACAACGCCTTAGGCTAACACTAAAAAACAACTCAACAATTTATTTGAAATACGCTTATTACGGCGAAG